AAACAAAATTACTAAATTAAAAGCATCCATCTCTTTCACATTAGTTTAGGCTTTTTTGAATAGTTAGTGCAACTTTATGTTCAAATTTTCTACTACGGCTGTTTCTTTCCTCTCAGTGGTTCAATCCACTTCCTTCTTTCCAAGATGGCATGTGGGTAAATGGAAAGGCTTCTGTGTTGCTAGATCCTCCCGTCCTCTTCCCTCCACCCACCACCATCACCCCATTTAGCCTGGGCCGGAAGTCTCAGCCAACCTTCCAACTGGGCCCTGGGCTAGGATGGTGCTGCCACACTCTGCTATGGGGTCAGGGCTCACTCTGCCACAGTGGCTCTGTAGCCAGACTGTTGGCACTATACTCTGGACTCTCTCCCTTCGTACCCTCAGGAAGCAGGTGGAAACTTCCAGAGCTCTCCAAATGTCACCCACAGTCATGGAAAATGGGGTGTGAGCTGTCACAGTCTTCTCCCTCTGCCTAAATATGTCACCATACAATCACCCCTTGACTATAGTTCAAAGTTTAAGGAGGGTCATTGAGATTCTATTTCAGGATTTGTTAAAGATAATAATTTTCTCATTAGCTTAAGGGGAAAATATGCAAATTCAGAGCTGCTGGCAGCTGTGCTGCCTCAAGTTCTGATCAATTTCCAGCACAAATAAGATTTTGGCACATAGTAGGTCCTCAATAAACATCTGATGAACCCAGGAATGAGGACAGATCTTGACTGAACAGTTGGCCAATAACGAGGAGAGCAAAAAGTGGAGATGGAGAAACTGATTCCCAAGGAATCTGTGGATCTAGCAGTAGGTAAACCCAGTTTTCATCCCGGGACTTTGCAGACAGTCATGTACTTGAGTTGGGCTTTTATCGCTTGCAACCAAGTGATTAATAAAAGGACATAACCCTAATATAACTTACACTAATATATTTGAAAATCCAGATTAAAGTCCTGATTTGTAAGGAAAATATTGGCTTGAGACGGAAAGTTCAATTAGTTCAGTAACCAAAGAAACAATTAAATAGGCAAAAATTACCATATAATAAAGACTTTATGCAAGACATTTTTTCCACTTTGGTTAGGCAAGTTTTTAAAAATATCAAGGATAGACAATTCCATGAAACAGACAAATGCACTAGTTTCATCTTACTTATAAACAGTTCATTCCAGGAATGAACATATGATTCAATATTAGAAATCTTTGAAAATTCACTAAATTACACTAAAGAAGATATTGATCTTCCAATATATGCTGAAAACTCACTTGATAAAATTCTATACTTACCTCTAGTTTAAATTTTTTAAAAGTAGCAAATTAGTAATAAAACAGAACTTAACAAAGGATATCTACCAGAAATTCAGAGCATACATTATCCTTAATGGTGGAACATTAAAAGCATTTCCACTGAAGTCAGTAACAAGACAAAAATTTCTGCTAAGCCCTGCTAGTATCCAACATTCTGTGCCACATCATAGCTAAAGCAATCCTAACAAAACAATTAAATGAAATATAAATACTGGATAGAAAATAAAGTCTCATCAATTGCAGAAAATGGGATTCTCTTGGATTTTCTAAGAATATATTGACAGACTTTTAGAAGTAAGAGTTCTGCAGTGTCATAATAGATCAGCATATAAAAATCAAATTGCTTTTACCACAACAGCAATAACCAATTACAAAATATATTAGAAAAAAGATATACTTCACTATAGCAACAAAAATAAAATCTCCAGGGCCGGCCTGGTGGCTTAGCGGTTAAGTGCGTGTGCTCCGATACTGGCGGCCCGGGTTCGGATCCCGGGCGCGCACCGACGCACCACCTCTCCAGCCATGCTGAGGCCGCGTCCCCCATACAGCAACTAGAAGAATGTGCAACTATGACATACAACTATCTACTGGGGCTTTGGGGAAGGAAAAAAAAAGGAGGAGGATTGGCAATAGATGTTAGCTCAGAGCCGGTCTTCCTCAGCAAAAAGAGGAGGATTAGCATGGATGTTAGCTCAGAGCTGATCTCCCTCACAAAAAAAAAAAAAAAGGTTAAAAAAAAAAAAAAAATCTCCAGAAATGAATCTGTCAAAAATGTATGATTATATAAAGAAATCTTATAAAATCAAGAGTCCCACAGAAGATCTCATTTAATGACACACTGTTCTTGAAAAGAAGTACTATTGTAAATCTCTCCAAATCAATACTATAAATTTAGTGCAACCAAAATCAAAACTTCAAGATGTGCTCAACAATAGCTAAGAAATTTTTGAAAAACATTAGGAAGTCTTTACCCCCACCAAATCTGAAAACATAACAGAAAACTATAATCAAAGCAATGCATTATTTATTAGGGATATCAAATACTTAGCATGTAATAAAACAGCACTTCAAATCAGTGAGAAAAGAATGGACTTGACTTCAATAAACGGTTTTTGGACTTTTAAATAAAAGCAGCTCTATTCCTTACACTTTTCACAAAAGTCAACTCCAGATGAAGATCTGGATGCATACATGATAAATATGTTAGAAGAAAATACAGAATATGCTTTATGTTTTTAAATGAAGTCATAAAAAAACTATTAATTTGACTATATATAAATATAAAACATCTATTAAAAAAAGACACCGTAAGTTAAAGACAGGTGACCAATTAAGAGAAAACACTGGTAACAAACATAAAAGACTAACATCTAAACTATATGAAAAACTCCGAACAAATCCATGAGACAAATCACTCAATAAAAAAATGAGCAGTGTTGGGAAAAGGTAATTCACATGAGAAATATAAAAATGGTCTAAAATAAACATATGAAAAGATGCCCATCCTCATTAGTGACAGAAATTTTTGAATTAAAACAAAAATAACATTTTTCCACCCACTAGATTAATAAAAAATTTTAAAATGATACGAGAAACTATAAATTGATAACAGTCATTTTGGAAGCCAACTGAATTATCTCTTTTAAAACTGCCTAACTCTGGCCCAGCAATTCAAAGCCAAAGCACATATTACAGAGAAATCCTTATATGCACATAAAAGTCATACAGGATGATGTTCTTTCAGCGCTGTTTGTAATTAGGAAAAAGAAAAAAAGGAATCTACCTTAAGAGTCCATTATAGGCTAAACGGATTGTGGGACGCTAAAAAGTGAAGAGATTATGTATGATTATAATGAAAAATAGAAAACCAAGTAGAAAAGCTGCAGAATGATAAACATATATTTATGTAAAAACCAAAACTATATATTTAATTTCCTTTGGCATATATAACATGTATATACATTCATAGAAAAAGGTCCAGATGGAAAGTTAACAACTGTTATTTCTAGGGAGAATAATGGGTTTGAAGCTGATAGTTAAAAACAGACTTGTCTCTGATGTTTTTACAAGTAAAATGTTGTCATATACTACATTTGTAATTTAAAATTTAAAGGAAAACAGGACACAGAGTCATACATTTTAAGAAAAAACATACACACAAAATTATCCTTTGTATTTCCTTCTCCCTCCCTTCCTTGATGGCAAACACAGAGCAAAGGTTCTGGAAGATTAACTACCAAAATAGTGTCGTAATACTATCTAAAGTTATCTCCAATAAAAACAATACACACAACTCCTGTGTTCTCATTTGAAAAAGAAGAAAATTCAGTTCAAGATTTACAAAAGCAATACAATTTCAGTTTAGAGTGCTTATTATTTTGTTTTAGTTATTTACAATCTTCATGGTACATGACTGTATACTGAAATTTTGCCGTATCTTTAGAATATACTATTTGCGGCAGAGAGAAATAGTTTTAAAGTTAGAACTTAAGTCATTATTAACATTTCAGTCAATGGCTTTATTAAGTTTATTTACACTTCTAAAAGAAATACAAAATGAGAGTACAAAACCAGACTGGCTTATTTCTTTAGCAGTTTACTAATCCTACTTTACACCATTAAACAAAAACACTTTGATATTTAAAGTTATCACTGATCAACTCACGAGCACTGTTCTTTCTGGAGATTATTCTGTAAAACCTTCTTATCCTAATGAGAACCATACTGGCTTTCAAATACAACCGGCTGCATTTCATGAATGACACTACTTTAGAGTAGCGTAAACTAAATATTGTTTTTAGAGCGCTGTGCTTTTAAGAATCACTTATTTTTAATCCATGTATGGCTCAAGTCTTGAACCATGAAAAGAAAACGATGATGAGAAACTGCCAGAGCTATCTGGTTTCGCAATGGTTATGAGAGAAAAGTGCAGTCAGCAGTTTCCTCCCAAATAAAAACGTCATCAGTGGGGAAGAAAAACCTTTTAAGGATATCTTCGACGGAATTTGGAATTTTCCCGACCTATCCTAGGTATCTGTCAAGTGTCTCCTGCAGCAATGTGCCTTGTAAAAGTGCCTCTCATGTTCCTAATACAAGGACAAGTTCCTTTAGAAAGGCTACTCTAGAGAGAGCACCATGGCAGTGTTAGAAAATCTGGATCTGTCACTGAGATCCCGAGCTGATCTCAGCAGCTCCTCTGTGCATTACAGGAGGGCTGCACTAATGTCTGACACACCTTCCAGCTCTAAGATTCCTCGATCCACGTTTTCATCAAAGGCCAACAAGGAAGGAAACACAACTTTTTACTTCATATCATGAAGGCACTTTTATAACTGCATTATCTATCAGTTTTATCTTCAATTTAATACAGCAATACTTTACATGAAAACACCCAGCATCTCTTCTATGTTACAGATATTCAAAAAACATGAGCCGGGGGGCCAGCCCGGTGGTGTAGTGGTTAAGTTCGCACACTCCACTTTGGTGGTCTGGGGTTCCCCGGTTCGGATCCCAGGCATGGACTTACTCACCGCTCATCAAGCCACACTGAGGTGGCATCCCATATGGAAGAGCTACAACTCTACAACTACGATATACAACTATGTACTGGGGCTTTGGGGAGAAAAAAAAAAAGGAAAATTGGCAAAACATGTTAGTGCAGGGCTAATCTTCCCGAAAAAAAAAAAAAAAAGAACATGAGCTGGTGATGACAATCCAAAAAAAGTCATATACAAGTAACCGATGTGAAGAGACTCAGAAAATAAATCATTTGAGCAGATTCGTTAAGTCTTTAAAACAAAGGGCAGCCAGAAAGTATTTAGCATTTAAGGGGGAGAATGATTGACTAGTCAGTGCCAGCATTTATTTTCTTTTCACATTGAAACTTGGAAAACAAGATATGAGTTAAACTGAACCCATTTAATATGAAAGTCTTTGATTTATTTAGTCAATTTACTTTTATAACAAAGCACTTTTTATATAATTTAAAACACACATGCTTTGATTGAAGAGTGACTGTAAATGGATCCAATTTTCTTCCACCTGTGATGATAACTTTGTCATTTCTTCTAGAAGCACTGGCTCTGAAGAAAGCATTTTGAGATGTAACTGAAAAGAAAAATACAATAGCTAAACATTTTATTTAAGAAAATTAAAATGCTATTTACTCTGGATTCAACTTTTTTACCAAGGAATGTGTGAAGGTACTATTCTGAATACTGTTTTCTTAAATGCTGGTTTGTTACCATCTCCCATCTCCCTGCTATCAAACTTTTTATTATGAGTTCCTTTATGGCACTGTCACTCCCTTAGCAGAACTGAAGTGGTCATTACTCTCCTCCACCTAAGGACAGTCCTGATATAGATCCAGAAACAAGGTCCTACTTCTAATACTAAATTCCTATTTCTGTACTTCTTTAAGTTTCTCCTTTCATTGTAACCCACTGGTAATCAATGGCAGATGGGCCCTTTGCTTTATCTTCTCAAGATTTAAGTAAATTTATATTTAGGAACTAAACTTAGTAGGGAAAAGATATAGAAACAATTTTTGGCACTTCTATTTTTTCATCCTACATGCTATCATCTAAATATCTACTTTTTAAATAATTTTAAATAATTATATCAAATGAAAATTCATTTCAGATATTAATGGAATAAATGAAGAATCATATCTGCTATTACTGAAAATTATCTACCTCCTTCAACACATTATATGACTGAAATAAACATGAGTTCTCCATTATATCAGTCATAAAAGCAACACTGTTATTGCCAAATCACTTGAAACTCCTTCAACCAGGATAGAAATAAATATTTTGATTTCAGCAGTAGAAAAAACAAAACAAAACAAAAAATAAACATAAGACCTGACTTTCTTTTCATGAGCATAGGAAAATTACCAAAATGTAGCTACTTAAAAAAGTTAATAGTTTAGTATATTGAATCAAATGGATGACACAGAAAAGTCAAGGGGTTGAGTCAAAAGTGTGCTGAGTTAAAAAAAAAAAAAAAAAGACTACAAAGTTGTCCAATATGGCAGTTACTAAGCACAGGTGACTATGTAAATTTAAATTAATTTCTATAAAATAAAAAATTCAGTTTCTCAGTCACATTAGCCACAAGTAGCCAGTGGCTGCCATGCTGAACAGTGCTGATATAGAACATTTCCATCTTTGCAGAAAGTTGTATCAGACAACACTACTCTAGAGGAAGGTAAGCTGGGAAGTATTGTCTTACATTAGACCTACCTTTAAAAACAACGCAAGGTATGCCTGGGCTAACTCAAAATCACGCTTTCTGTCCAACATCATCCCGATCATTTTTGAGAAGCTCTGCATGACTTCTACAGACCCGCCACAATCCGGAGACAAGCTTCGCAGCTCTGCTTCAATTCCTGATGGGCCTAATTCTTTCAGAAGGTTAAGAGCAGCCTCATCTGCATTAAGTTTTGAAAAGAAACCAGTTATTACCTACAATCCCTTCACTTAGGAAACTAGTTTTCATTTCATACCTCAAGCAACATATATGTTAATTGCACAGGAAATGCTTTCTGTGGCTTAATTTTTTCTGTTAAGTAGTAGAATGAACCTCAAATTAAGTAAAAATCAGTACAAATGATGAAAGTAATACAATAAAAAGTAATAAAAGCACTAAATTTTTTGCACTTTCAGTAATTTAAGTTTTCTTTCTGCTGTTAAGGCTGTTAAAGAAAATATAATTAACGCCTGGCAACAGACACTCTAAGATGCTCATAAATCAATCAAAACAAATATAGCCAAATATAAGGCTATAAAGGTAAATAAGAAATTTTTAATAGTAGTTGCCACTGGAGAATAGGATGAGGTGGGAGAATTTATTTTTCTTTCTTTTTTTTGTTATAAAAATTATAAAAGTACCACATGATCATTAAGAAACACTAACAATACAGAAATATATAAGAGGGGAAAGACCCCACTTTATTCTTACCCATGCCAAATCTATTTCTTTTCCCCAGAAGTAAGCACTCTTGTTTCATATGCATCCAGTGAATACATATTCTATACACTTACAACTATTTTTATACGAGGCATTTGATATTACAATGGCAATGACTATGCTTTTAGCTTTTTGAAAAGGAACAACAATCACAAAAGTCTAATAAATTTTATTTTCTGTCCTTCAGTATATACTACACAAAAGTACTTTTCTTCTTTGTACTCCCATAAATGTAACAAGTTACTCCTTGTATGATCTGCTATTCTTTAGTCATCTACAATGGCCCATCAGTACCATTCTTTGACTTTTGCCAATGTGGCCTCCAGTGATACTGGTATGGAAATAAGAGCATTTGGATCAGAAAACGAGAGGATAAGTCAAACAGGAGAGTGACTGTGAATTTGTTAATTGCTTATAGCTCTTATTGTTCATCATAGCTACACATTGTAGCTTTCAAAATTTAAATATATTAACATACTCAATAAATTTTAAAACTGCCTTTTTATGGTATAATTTGGGAATATCTGAAATCACCTAAGACAAAAGTCTCTGCTGTATTGCAAACTGCATTTGTAAATAAAAAAAGCAAAAAACAGAAAAAAATCTAATTTTCCATAAAGTGTGAAAAGTTCTCAAAAGATTATTATAATATTATCATCTGAATTTAGTGCTACTCATTTAATATAATACAAAAGCTAAAATTACTTCAGATTAAAACCAACATTTCAGTCCTTTTAGTTTTTACTATCTTCTTTCAGCTACCGACAGTTTGCTAATTTCATTCAATTTCTCTTCACATAAATAAGCTGAAGATACTTGGTAAAATATTTTATAATGTAACTTACATTTATTATTTACCAGTCCTTCTTCAAGTTTCAAGCAGAAATCTGATTTTTGAGCCAAAATTCCAAGATTTACCACTTTAGACTTAAGCAAAAACAAATATACATTATTCAAAGAACACAAGTGTAATAAAAAAATTTATAGATTATAATTAAAAGCTATCACTAATTTACTCTTTTTTTTTTTTTATAATTTTACTTATTTTTCCCCCAAAGCCCCAGTAGACAGTTGTACATCATAGTTTCACATCCTTCTAGTTGCTGTAGTGGGACGCGGCCTCAGCATGGCCGGAGAAACGGTGCGTCAGTGTGCACCCGGGATCCGAACCCGGGGCCGCCAGCAGCGGAGTGCGCGCACTTAACCACTAAGCCACGGGGCCGGCCCACTAATTTACTCTTTATCTGTTAAAACCAGGTCTTGGTAAAGAACTACAAAAGCACAACACAGAACACACCCCCCTTCCACGGAGAATGCTCCGATTTGGTTTTCACCTGCTGGGGATCATTATTTTGTTCAGGTGCAGCGTATCTGGGTACAAGGCCAGGAACTGTCGGAATAAAAAACGGTGCTGATTTGGGTACTTTGGGTGGTTCCTTTGGTTTATTCTTTTTCTGATTAAGAGAAAATGAGAGAGGGAAAAAGACTAGTAAGTAATTATCTTGCTAACAGTTTCTAATATTTAATTCCAAATCAATTTTAAAACGAAGTCCAAAAAGTAATAAAAAGGAATGAAACTTTTCCAGATTAGAATACTAAAATAAAACCCCAACCAACCAGTACCACAGATATCTTTAAACTGGGCTTCCCGATGCAGCCCTCCAGTAGCCTTCCCGATAAGGCAGAAGGAAAATGACAGGGTTCAGCAGATGCTCTAAGACAAACATAGCTCATTTTCCCAAAACATTAATATTTACAGGAATATTTAGGTGAAGAAATGACAACCAAGTAATTTTGAACTTCTTTTTTTTTTTTTTTTT